TGCAGGGTTGTGATGGCTCGATCTTAATAAACTCAACGAAAAACAACAAAGCCGAGAAGGACTCCCCTGCAAATAATCCGAGCCTCAGAGGGTTTTATGTGATAGACACGATAAAAAGTAGGCTCAAAAAGAACGGGTGCAAAGGCATAGTCTCGTGCGCTGATATAATCGCTTTTGCAGCTAGGGACAGTGTTGAGCTGGTAGGAAATTCAAGTGATCTTTGATTGTGTTGATCATTTTATCATTTCTCAAACTAATCATTTGCATATTTTGTGAACAACTCATATGATAGCCAAGCCAATTCAACTAATCCTTACATATATTGTGAACAACTCATATGAAAGCCAATTCTTTTAGAAAAAGATGAAAATAGGCATATGTATTCATGAATACATAAAGTAATAATTAGCATGTTTTGAGGTCGAAGAACAACTTCCCATTTACTCCGACTTAGCAACCGGAAAACACCAAAATAAAGGATACAATTCCAGCCAAAAAAATGTCACAAGACTCACAAAAGGAAGTTAACTTCACTCTTTTTTTTTCCCTTTTTTGTTTTTTGCGGTTCGTTACAGACTGGCGGACCTCCCTATCAAGTGTTCGCCGGGAGGAGAGACGGCAAAGTCTCAAACGCTACAGAAACACTGCTTCACTTGCCACCTCCTACAGCTAACTTCACTCAACTCGTTAAACTCTTCAAAAGCAAGAATTTAACGCTGAAACAAATGGTCGCGCTTTCAGGTAAATCCAATACAAAATTACTCTTCAATATTTTTTTATTCATTTATTTTTTTTATTTTTATAAATTTGTGCTTCGATTTTCAGCCGCGCACACGCTCGGGCGGGCCCACTGCACATCTATCCTCAACAGGCTGTACAACTTCAGTGCAGCCGTGAAACAAGACCCATCTCTGGATCGAACATATGCAAACTACCTCAAAAAAAAGTGTCCACCAAATTCGAGCGCAGATCAAGTGGTGGACATGACTGAAAACCCAACAAAATTCGACCACGATTATTTCACTGCAGTCCTGCAAAACAGAGGCTTGTTCACTACAGACCAAGCCCTGTTAGAGACTAAGGAATCCAGATACATTTTCAACACACTCAATAAACAGACGGGTGGCAATAAAAGGGCTTTCACAGACGCAATGTTGGCAATGGGGAATACTGAAGTGTTAACCGGTAAAAATGGTGAGATTCGAACTAACTGCGCAAAGGTTAACGGCCACTAAGCAAATCAAGTATGGGTTGAATAAAGATTAATGTTTTATGTGGGTGTGTTGGTGTATGCAGATATCAACCAAGCAGGATGTGTTAAACAGTTAAACTGTCAAAGTAGTAATCAGAAATGAATCAAAACCCGAACTTTTTATGGATAGCAAATGTCAATTTTATCCTTTTTTATATGAATCAGCAATCGGTTCAAGTGGCCACTAATGGAAAGTAAGAAATGAGAGGCAAATGTCTGACTTAATATTGTTCTCGTAACATGTACAATTAACAATAGCGTCATCTCATGAGTTGATTTACCTACTTCTGCAGCCGGGGATTGGAGGAATTTATAATGATAGGTTTTTCCTGCAAGACTGATCTCTTTTTTTCTTTTCTCCTTCTGAATGTGTGTGTGTTGGTGTGTTTTTTATAGTGACAAAAAGAATTTTGAATCCTCAACAAAGTTCATTGCATTTCAAGTTTTGACCGAGTGAAATCAAAGAGGTCGGAACAAAAAACTAATGCAAAAAACAATGAAACATAACTACCCAAGAATCATAAAATCCATGTATTTTATTCCACCTTATTTTTCTTCCTTAGGTGGTGAGCTCCATGATGGCACTCACAATGTCCCCTGAGTTGGTCTTGAGGGCTTTGACCGCCTTCGACCTCGACACGCCAGCTTGTGTCATCACCAGGTCGATGTCCCTTGGCTCCACCCCCGACTCGTCCACCTCCTCATCAACCTCCTCCTCCTCCTCATGGGCCCCAGCCGATGTAAGGCTATCGGGCTTGGGCCCAGCAAGGCCCACATCAGGCGCCCTGAACTGCTGGGCCGCCTGTGTCTGGAGGTGGGAGCTCAGGTCCTCGATCTTGGCCTCCCCAAATATGATATATGTGTCAGAATTTGGGCTCTTGAACACGTCGGGCTTCGAGATGAAAAACAGCATCTGCACCCCCCAAAAAAAAAAAAAAAAAATACAGATCTTACTGAACATTTTATTACTGGAAGCAGAAAGTGTTTTAATTCTTTTTCTTGAATGAATATTTACGTTTTTGGTTCGCTTGATGGTGACCCGACTGACACCAGTAACAGGCTTCATCCCGAGCTTCAACATGGCCTTTCGGCTCTTCTTTTCACTTCGGCTTTGTTTGGAACCATCGTTTGCCCCTGTTCCATTTTTTTAAACAGAAAAATGAGCAAATTTACTACACTAGCCAATAAGATTAAAAAGAAAAAACACCACGGACAAAATTTTCGAGAGTGCGCACGACACAATGTAACAAATGTGTGCACCAGGAGTAGTTGTTAGTGCTAGTCAAACTGTTTTAATATCAGTTAATTACCACACATCAAGCAGCCATACTCCTATAAATTACAATCTGGTCGTTTTTCCTTCACACGAGGCAAATTCATACCAATAATTGAGCTGCATTATCATTAGGCACTATTACTCCATAAAATCCAACATAGCAAAAGCACAATTGCCCAATCGATAAGCATTTAAATCTCATAAACGACACGACACAATTACCAAGCATAAAATATTGGATTGAACAAACAAATTACAAATCTAGTTTCTAAACCGTAATCTACATTTCAGCTATTAGATAGACACAAACATTGAATCCTTTCTTCACTATAGTAGTTCTTCCAGTGGCTCAAGTGATAATACACAGAGAATCAGGAAAATAGACCAAACATATCAAGTGCCACTTTAAATGCAATAACATGTATATGTTACTTAATCCACCATAATTACCACCAAATCAAAACTAACAATAGACTGAAATAAAAAACAGCATCAAAGAACGACCGGCGGGAAAAAAAGTGTAAAAAACAGCGACAGACAGACCTGGAACGCCGTCATCTTCTTCATCGGAATCATCGGCAGCGTCTTCATCATGCTCTTCATCTTCCTTCACGTCCTCCACCACTGGCTCATCCTTGGCCCATAAAACAAACGGAAAAAAGTTTCAGAACAAACTACAGCCTAGAATACACACCAAAACATAGGGAAAATTGAGGAATAAACTACAAACGAGCACACCTTAAGATTTGTCTGAGTTTCAATTTCTTCGATAACGGGACCTGGCATGGCGGCTGCTTCAAAGATGAGTTAAAGGGAGGAGAGAGAGAGAGAGAGAGAGAGAGAGAGAGGCTGTGATGAGTAGCTGAAGATTGAGTGGGAGAAGAAATGAATCGATAGGAATATAGGATTCTATTTCTAGGGTTCAGATTTTAGGTTGCGGCCCAAATGGTTGGGCTGCTTCGTTTTAGCTCAATTGTCTTTAATTAATTTGGCCCATTTCAATTATGAAAAATAAAAAATAACAAATAAACAAATAACATACCCCATATTTGCTTTCTTTTTAAAAAAAAAAAAACAAAACAAAACAAAAATTTGAAACAATTTGTTTTTTATATCATTTCAGTTTTCAAATTTTATATATTGGTTGTATCTTTTTTTTGGGTATAATTGGATTGTTAAAATGGTAGTCAGTCTGTTGTTACAAGCCGATGGATAGGATTGCATTTTCGTATATAATTAGCACAAATTTAGTTAATTGCAGTAAGATTAATAAGAGATTAAAAAAAATTAAGCATTTTAGTACTTGCCTAATTGAGAATGTTCATTTCAAAGATCATAAGCATTATGTTCAAGACAACCTAAAGGATCAATCAAGCAAACAGTTGTACCTTATTCAAATTATCTGCATTGTCCTCAAACATTATCTGATTGTCTTTTGTCTACATACACAATCTCGGACAAAACAAACAAAATCATAAACACACACATGAAATGCACAAGCTAACTATATTCAAAGAAAAAAATTTGCTCGATGCATTTCACCATATTCCCCAATTTCCTTCATACATCTTCAGCAATATAAATGTATGTAAACTAAAATCCATACTCATCCCCCAAAACGACCGATCGCAAATGCATAAACCCGCCACAATTTCTCCTATCTCACGACTTTGCAAAAAAGTCGAGGGGACCCCACATAGATATACATACTAATACATATTAAGGCATCGCAAAAGGAATCTCCAATTAATCACTGATTAAATTGTTTGTATAGTCCCGATTGTTTATGTACAGTCTTTCAGTCTTTGCTTCCTTGCTTTCTTTTCTTGGTTCCAAGCCTCGTTGTTAAACGCATGGCAATGGGATCCGACCCATTTCGAACATGGAGCAGATAAATCGCAAACATAACAGAAACACTGCACAAATGACCGAATAAGTCCCACAACACGATAGCTATTCAAACTATATTAAAAACAAAAGTAACCTTAGCTATATATGTGCACATGATTTACCATTTGACAATGACTCTCATGAGGAGTCATCTCGAAAGGATGTCTAGCACAATTGTGTCGTGAATGAGGATAATCTCTGCAAGCTACCTACATATCCGGTTAGAAGCCCAAAAAAAAAAAAGAAGAATGAGTCACTATCAATATAATTCAACTACACATAGAAGATAGAAAATGACCATTTAGTGTCTCAAAGCCGATAGCTTTCATAGAAGTCATTGCAACAAATATATGTACAAAAGCACCGAAAGGTCCGAGAGATGGTTAATTAATCTTAAGTCTTGAGGTCAGACCCGGACATGATTAATAAATAGAGGGAAAACCTTAAATACACAGAATTGTACTTCTTTATTCTGCTGAAAAAATAAAACCAGATTTTGTCCACATAACATAAACAATTTTGTATCCAAATTAAACACTATAATTTTATGAGAAATGCAGCATTCTCAGCACAAAACAATTTAAACTAGTAAATTTACTTGGTCAGCTGTTGTATGTTGTATCAAAATCAGTGATATATCAAGTGTAGACATTTATAACAAGGACAATAAATCAAGAAATGAAACTAAGGGACTCCATTTTCCTCAGCATCTAAGGGCCAATAACACAAACAAACAAAAGAGGAATCTTTAGCAAAATTCATAAGTTATAGAAGCAAATCTGTCAGCATTTTAGTAAAACTGATTACTGAACCTTGACAAATAAGAACACACACAATCAAAATCAATTAAACAAAGACGAAAAATGTTCAAAAAAACAAAAAGCTTCGTCCAATCTACCTGCCCCTTTTCAGCCACCACCTGCAAATCAGCCTCGGCATCATCGGAACCTTTTAACAATGGAGACCTTAGGCTCTCCATATCATCGTACGGATCGAACTCGAGGATGAAACACTCCTCATTCTCCTCGGCCCGCTTTATCTGATCCCTGTTCTTCAGACAGAAAACGGGTCTCAAAGGCGTCGCCCAACGGTCGGGTGAAGGGTACGAATCGTCGATCTCAATCACTTTGATTTCTTTTTCCGCCATTGAAGCGACCTTCCTCCGTGGTTTCTTCTTCTTTGTAGCGCCATTGACCGCCGATTTCGAGGATTTATTACTGGGTAAAACCCTGGAAGACGAAGGGTTTTTCACCATTAAACAGAGTAGAAATTCAAAATTGGAACTTTGAATTTGAGTGATTTTTTCAAATTTTGATCGTGAGGCAAACGGGCGACAGGACAAGGAAGTGACAATTACAACTTCTTTATGGGCCAAGCCCTTGACACTCTTTTGGGCCTTTTTGCCCAGTTGACGATAGCTTCTTTAGATATGAGCCGGATAATAGATGGTCTAGCAATGTCCAGCCCAGATCATTAATATGGGGGCAAAAAAGGCTTAAAGACGTACTATGAACTAAAAAATAGTACCCACGAGTTTAGTACTAGTTAATGCTTTAATGTAAGAAAATAAATCTAAACTAAACCTCCCAACAAGCATGTAAATTCTGTGGCTTTATTACATGTTATCGAAGAATTGAGGTATTTTCAATGGTTATGTTTTCCATAAAAAAAGTATTTTATTTATTTAACAAACCAAAAATATTGTGTTTTGTTTAATATTTTATTTTCTAGAGATATTTCGAACTGAACATCGATAGATAAACAATAAATAAATTTACAGATAATTATTCTGTTCACACGCACGCAAGTCAAACAAACTACCGGTATGGAATATGATTAGTGGTTCTCTTAACGTTAATGTGGAATAAAAAAACTTGTGGACTATATTTTTGTACTTACAAGCCAAATCTTATGAAATTGAATTTTGTTTCGTATTCAAATAAATTAGAAAATATATAATTTTCTTTTAGGCTATAAACCAAATTTTACTGCTAGATTTTTATAAAATTAACCTCGTTTCAGGCTTTCAAATGACACATCCTAGTCGGAAATTAAATATTTTGATTATCAAAAAATTTGAACTTTTTTTTATACACATATGCACTTCTCTTCTTTTTTCGGTCGATTAGACGCGCATTAATTTTCAAGAATCGATAAATTATGTATTACTCGGCCATGGTTTCACAAACCTTAAATCAAATTAAAAAATCATTTTAAAATTTAACATTAACTTAATTCAGTTAAAAAAAATCTCATTTATATGACTTCATAATGCGTCGAGTCTAGGTGACAGATTCTCACGCATTTGAATCCAATGTGCACAAAATCATGTATTGGAGTCAAACTTGAATATAAATTAATATTTTTTTTTATAGAAAAATAGTTAGTCTTGGATTTCATTTAATATCTCTATTTTTCATACTAAATCCATTATTAATATCTTCATTTATTTATTTATTTATTTTATACCGAGGTTTCAGGCTTGCGCCTGACTAGTCTTCGAGGAAACCACTTCGACCTCTCAAAAACTGCCTCCAGTTAAATCGCGGTAGTCACGCAATGGCTCTAAGGTACCTAATACCCTCAACTACTGCGCACAAGGAGTCCATCCTTAAATGATTGCTCGCTGACCCTCTCAACTTCAAGTTGGCCCCACCTATCCAGCCGCAGGCCCACCAAAGTGATTGCTTCATGCTGCCCCCCCCCCCCCNNCCCCCAACTTCATGTTGGTCTCTCCTATCCAGTTGTTGGTTCCCACCGAGTTTCAGCCTCCCACTCTGCCGCTTGTAGTCCTCAATATTAATTGTTACACAATTGCGATCCAAGGGCTTGAACCCTTGACCAAAATTGTTACCATAACTATTTTATATTTCTTGTTTTCTTCATTACCATATATTACATTTTGTTTTCTTACTTAATTCATACATCAATTATTATAAATATTTATTCTTCTTATTTTTTAAATTTTATAACTTTTTTGTTTGTACTTAAAAAAGTAATAAGTGTCGGTCGCTAGCTAAAAGTATCATAAAAACCCACGCTCACACTCTCCACACCACCACACCACCAACCCAAAAACAAAAGATAATTTAAGGAAAAAAAAGATAAAGATGGAGTCGCCGGCGATCGAAAATCTCGGAGCCTCAACGACGTCGGACCGAATCTCCAGAGAGGAGAAGGAGGAATCCTGCTTGCTGGCAATGCAGCTGGCGAGCGCCTCCGTCTAACCGATGGTCCTCAAGTCCGCCGTCGAGCTCGACCTGCTCAAGCTTCCAAATGAGAGCTCACATTCGGAAATCAAATATTTTTGTTATCAAAAGATTTGAACTTATTTTTTTCTAGCACACATGACAGCTCACATTTTTTAAAATTAATTTACAAAATTGTTTCCAAATTTAAGGTTAATTGAGTTAAAAAAAAATAAATAAAAAATCTCTATCTCTCTATATATACGATTAAGAATGCGGCGAAGTAGTGGATTCTCACGCTTTGTAATTCAATGTAGCACAAAATCATGTTTCAGAACCAGACTTAGATATAAATTAATATTTTTTATAGAAAAATAGTTAGGCTTGGATTTCATTTAGTATCTCTATTTTTTACACTAAATCCATTGGGTAATTTATATATTAAAAATAAAATAAAAAAATAAGTGGACAAAAAACAAAAAAAAAAAAAAAGTGAGGGGGGAGTGGACTAACATAAAAACCACGTATTCACAAAATACATTTTGTTTACAATCAAATTGTAAACAAAACGTATTTTGTGAATACGTTTTACAAATTTTTTTTTACAAAATAAAACGTATTCACTAAATACGTTTTACAATTAAATTGTGCAGAAAACGTATTTCCAAAATACGTGCTTTTTATTTTGTTCCACTCCCCATTTTTTCTATATTTTTTGTCCACGACTTAACTTTTTTTTTACGTAAAAAAAATCTAAATCCATTATTGATCTCTCTCTCTCTCTCTCTCTCTCTCTCTACCCTTCTACAATTAGTTACCATAACTGTTTTATAAAACATATTCACTAAATACGTTTTACAATAAAATTGTGCAGAAAACGTATTTCTAAAATACGTGCTTTTTATTTTGTTCCACTCCCCATTTTTTCTATATTTTTTGTCCACGACTTAACTTTTTTTTTACGTAAAAAAAATCTAAATCCATTATTGATCTCTCTCTCTCTCTCTCTCTCTCTCTCTACCCTTCTACAATTAGTTACCATAACTGTTTTATAAAACATATTCACTAAATACGTTTTACAATAAAATTGTGCAGAAAACGTATTTACACAATACGTGCTTTTTATTTTGTTCCACTCCCCATTTTTCTATATTTTTTGTCCACGACTTAACTTTTTTTTACGTAAAAAAATCTAAATCCATTATTGATATCTCTCTCTCTCTCTCTCTTTTTTTACCCTTCTAC